TATTACTATTGAATTTAGGTATTATATTACTTTATTTTTCTATTTTTTGTTTTCTTTTATTATGTTTCAGTTAATTTTAAGCGTGTTTTATTCTTACCAATTTTATGCACATAGATGCTACCACTATATTACCATTTATAACTTTACCAATAATCTTCAAGATCCCATCATTTTATCAATACATTGTTGAAGAAGATACTGAATCTTTTTTTAAAAAACTATCTTACTATAAGCGAGTTCTCAAATATGTTTTTTATTGCTGTTTACTCGATTTTACTTCATTTCTGTTATGATCATTTATTTCTATCATTGCATATAATTTTGGTCAATAAAAGTTAGCTACGCTAAATGTGAAAAATATAAGACCTTAATGACCTATTTGCTTTATAAAATCTATTAATTCTCACCTTCTAGCTATCCAAAACTGTCATATTCTATGCAGTCCTTCTCTATATCTTATGATTCTATTTGCTATCTTATCATCTTCATTTTCTATTATTTTTTTTATTTCTAAAACATCCATTTATTCATCACTTAGGTTTTGTTTGACATATATTTATCCTTTTTGTAACATCTTCTATCTCATATATGAGTTTAATATGAAATACTGCCATTTTGAATATCTTGTGAATCTTCCGTCTTTATACTATATTATGTGCTTAAAGTACTTAGCTAGTTTTATTTCTTTTAGTCATACTACTTGAAGATCTGCTTTGTCATATGAGTATAGCGTCAAAAATGCTTTTATTATGTAATTAAGTGTTTGAAATTTGTTAATTAACACTCCTTTAATATTTAACTATAACAATGCTTGATCATTGTTTTGCATTCTCGAGAGTCTTATTTATGGCTTCTTCTTCTTATTGTATTAGTAAAAATAATAGTATAAAAGTCTTTGATACTTTTTCATTATCATTTTTATTATTAGTTATATCATCATTTTTAGATTGATCTTCCTCATCGTCGCTTTTATTATCAGTTGTGTCATCATCTTCAAGTTGATCTTTCTAGATCTATGAAAGCTTGTTAAAGATGAATTCATTTTCAGGTAGAAATTCAAGAATTTCATTATCTATTATGACATTGTGATAGTATAAATTGTTGCTTTTTAAATATATTAATACTCTGTATACATTTCTTTTTTGTACAATGAAATCTCTGAAACCTTCTGTATTATTTGTCGATTGCCATCATACTGCGAGAACAATTAGTGATGATGGATTTTGTGAAAGTTAATTAATTATGTTTTCTTTATATCTTGTATAACCTTCTTATAATTAATATACTATTATTACTGTAAATACTTATGAAATAAGCATTTCTTCTATTTCATTAAATCCTTTCAGTTCATTAGAAATATTGCCTAGATCCATATTATTTTCTGCTGAAAACTTCTTAGGAATTTTGCTTTTTTTGTAACAAATCTTACACGTATCCTTGTTTATCGTTATTATAGGTATTCTCTTGTAATATTTTTCATAAAATTTATATCTGATACTGTTCATTTTTTTATAAAAATTTTGTAATATATGAATTTCTTTCTCGCTGATCGTGATGGCTGATTGTTGTCTTATGTGATTGTAAGTTTCCTCTGTTGTATTTTATTTACTATCTTTTTTACCTTTATTTTTATTTATTTCTTGATGTATTTTTTGACATGTTCATTTTTGTGCAGTTTTTTTATATTTATTTTCTTAAATTTTTCAATTTTCACATTTGTTGATAGTTTCTGTCATATTTTTCTTTTTTCTACTTTCACAAGTTCATTTTAGACGTACCTTTTATTGTTCTTTTGATTCTTTTGCCCTTTTTGCTATTTTTTTATATTCCTGTATAAGTCATTTCATCCGCTGTTTGACCATCTCTTAATTTTTTTTAGTTTGATTTTGAATAGTCTTTGGATTAATAGAATTATTCATTTTATCTCTAATATATTTATACTAAATTAGTGTATTTTATAGATAGCCTTAATTTCGCCCCTAAAACAATTTTTTTTCACATTTAATTAGTCTTTATTAACAAATTTATTATTTTATATTGTATCTAATGATTGTATTAAATTATTTTATTTGTGACTTTAACATTTAAATACAATTATTTTATTATTCTTTATTAATTAATTAATCTAAATTTGTTCTATATATATGAAATTATAATTAAACTCTATTAAACAATTAATCTTGAGAAAATTAAACTCGCGTCTTAATGTCTTTAGCATATACTAATTTATATTATTATATAATACATCTAACAAATAATATTTACATAATATGTCTTAACTGACAATATGATTTTTATTTTAAATTATTTGTCTTTTAATATTATATAATATATCTGCATATCACTTACTTTACGTGATAAGCTCTAAACTTTATAACAGTTTCTGTTTCTCTAGTATAGTTAGAATATTATATCTAATTCTTTACTTGAAATAATGTTATCTAAAGTAAGTGAGCAACTTACTAAAAATTAACCTCTTTTTAACCATTAAATCAATTTAAATATCAGCAGCACTATTTGATATGAATTTTTTGTAAACTGAAATTTTTAAATAATATTATAAAATTCTTGTAAATATTGTTAATGTGCAAACTTTCCAGATTGCAACTGTTAGACGCAGTGTCAGAGGGTTGACTTTTTTATAGTTCACATAATAATCTCAGTCAGTTTATGATAATTTTGGTTAATTCGCTACTAGTTTATTGTATTAAATCAAGTTTATCAGACACAAGCAGCTTTAATTACAAGTAAAGAGTTATCACAGTAAGTTCAAGAAGAGTTTCAGATAAGAGATAAGAAATACTTTATTAAAGTAAAAGAAAATAATAATAATAATGATATATAGAAAAAATAAGAAAAGAGAAATAAGAAACAGAGATACACAAGGTGAAGAGTAACGTTGTACTATCTTTTACAAAAGAGAGGTTCTGTACAGCCATCGGTTGTCTCTTTCTAATAAACAAAAGAGGTTGTATTTATATCTATTCTATTACATATTTTGATATATCTAATATATTAACTATGTTAACTATATCAACTATATTAATTATATTAACTATGTTAGACATATCTGATATGTTAGACATATTAGCTATATTAAACATGTTAGATATGTTAAATATATTTGACATTATTGACATTTATACTTCGCCACACAATTGTAAATTTATGATCATCAAGATCGTCATCTGATCACAATATATTAAATGAATATTTGCTTTCTAAAAACTTTTATTATACTATTATCTAAATTTGTAAGATATTATCATGAATTTAATATTTTTAAATATTGAATTAATAAATTACTAGAGTTCTCAAATTTAATCATTATTATATTTAATGAATAATTATATTTTTGATAATTTTGTTGATAATTATAAAACTTTTAAAATTTTTTGATTTTAAATATAAAGCATTAATAATAAATAAATAACCAATCTTTTTCATAAAAGTATCTTAAGTTAAAGTAAATTTATAAATACAATTGTAAAAATAATAATATATAATAAGGTATAAAAATGTATTATAACTAAGCATCATGAGATTGTAACTAATTGTAATATTAATAAAATTAAATTATAATTAGTTGTAATTAGTAATAAATAAGAATTACATAATTTCAACTAGTTGCAGTATCATCTTTAATATGAATGATTTCTTTTATTAATAATTTAAAAATTTTGTTACTTATCTTATGTATTTATAAAAACTATGCAAACTTTTTTAATTTAAATTTTTTTCTGAATATAATAATATATACTGTTCAAAATCATAATTAACCTATATACAAAGATAATAAGGGTCTTATTTTCTGCAGAAAAGTTTGATAATAAATAAATGCTTTATTACTGTTTATTTTACCATTGTTAAAAATAAATCACATGATGTGATTGTAAATGCTTTTTTTTTACTAAAATAAAATACTGAATCAGTAATGCATTTTTTTATTATAATATATAAATATACATTAGAAATTTTGGGACTTTCTATCTAAAGCATATTCAGAAAACCCAATACTGATTAGTAATTTACTGCTTTATGTATATTAGGAATGTATAGTAAGAAACATTAGTTTCTTCCTACAAGAGTAAAAGGTTTTGATTAAATATTATATATACAAGCTGAAAATAAAACAAAATAAAATTCCATAAAAATAATTGAAATCATCATCTCTCTTTTCTAAAATATGATTGGTCAATAATAATTACAAGTTTTGTTAATTTTTTTTTTAGCTTTAACAATGATATGACAAAACTTGTATTATGTAAAATTATATAAATTTTTTATTTTTATAACTTTAAAAGGTTTTTTTATATAAATGACTAAATAAACAATTATATATATATATATACAAAGTATATAAAAAATTAAACAAAATATGATTGAATAACCAATTGAAAAATTGTTAAAAACAAAATAGATTACTTATTCAAGTGTAGGTTAAGATTTTTTTGATACGAAAAAATAAAATTTTACTTTCTATATTAGTATTCTAATATTTATATAAAATAAAATACTATCTAAAATTTCTAAATTCTGACTTTGCACTAACAAACTAAACTTTATATGATTGTATTTAGGTCAGCAGAATACATTATTTTTTGTTTTCATTAAACTTTAATTTTATTATATCATTTTATTAGTTGACCTGTCTTCTTACATATTAATAAAGAATTATTGATATTTTAAAATATGTATATTTGTATATTTTATACATTAATAAATTTTTACGTGCAGTATTATATTCAGAAAATTAAAATTTTCTATTATTTTCATTGAATCATAAAATGTGGCTTTTAAATAACCAATGAAATTATAAACTAACAAAATAGAGATACTGAAATATCTTTCATTAAATCACAAAGAACTTTTAAAAATATTATTTCATTATTTTATTTTTTATTTGAAAAGTGTAAGAATGTAATTTGTTATATTAATAAATTAGAAACAAAAATAATTATTTATAGTAACTTACCTTTTTAATTTAATGCAATGAAAAATCATTTAAACATAACCAATAATATGGCAAGTTTTGAAAATTTTGTGCGCTTGCATAAATCATCTTCATTATTAAAATACTTCCTTTTACGCATTAGAGAAATATCATCTGCTAACTGTTCACCTACTTCTTTTATTAATCTTAATTCCTAAATATTAGCTGTATTAATATTAACTTTTTTTTGTGCTATTGTTTGAATAAATAAATCAAAGTTTATATACTTTTTTGAAAATTTTAAAGAAAAGTCAAAAAAAAATTATTTAATTTACCAACCTACAGCAAATTGAGCCTGTATTGCATAAGTAAAATCATAAAAGATAAGAAAATTGTTCTTGTATATTAAAGCGGCATTTTTGAAATCTTTTAATAAAGTAGAAGAATTATCAATTTCATTACTCAATGGACATATTGATAATAGAATGAAATCATTATTTTGGAGATTAAGGTTATCAGCAAGTGCCTTTTTTGTAGAATTATATTCTTTTTTAATCATACTCTCTATAATCTTTTGAGGTTGTGCAGTTTCTAATTTTCTCGTTTGTAAGCAAGCCATAATTATATCTTTGCTATTGATAGTTTTAAGTTGAATATAACTAAACCCATTAAATGATACTAACTCTCCATTTTTATAAACTGCAAAACTTTTCTCCCTTATTAAAAGCTTTTCATTAGAATATAGATCTGTGATTGCTCAAGTACCATTTGTTAGAAACCTTTCTTTTATAAAATGAATTTTAATTGTATTCTATTCTGAAATCTTTATGTTAATGTCTTTAAGCATATCACCATAATAAGCACCTTTTAAAAAATCACATTTATTAATTTCTTTATAACCATAAATAGAGAGTAAATAAAATTTTAATGCCAAAAATTAAATATTAAAGTCTTCTCAATTTTACCAGTAAAATAATTCAGAAGATTTAATCATTGGTTTTTAGAATTGATATAATTTATTTAACTTGTTTGACAGGATCATCAAGCACTAAAGCATAATATATAGCAAACGTAAATATACCTTTTTAATGCTATAATCCTCTAAGACTATAATTCCATATTGTCTTAATTTTTTTATTCTCTCATTAAGTTCTATTGCCTCATTTAGTAAGCAACTAGCAATAATATCAGAATTATCTTGAGCAAATTCCTCAAATGCATAATATTTCTTTAATAATAATACATGAACATCAGTCATAACCTGTAGAAAATCAATAGTGTTGACAATGTAATTAGAGCATCACTAATAAAAGAATTCCAATGTTTGACAATGATAATCAACATCACCAAGGCATCGATGAAAATGATAGTTTGTGTCAACCAGAAACTGTAAACATCATTCAATTTCTAGCAAGTGGTCTATTCCCAATAGTAGAAGAGGAATAGGTAAAGGAGAATGCATAGACTTTGTGATAATATCATACAAAGGTTTGTAACTTGTTTCAGAAAGTAAAGGCATATAAAAAATTGAACCATATACACAACAACATGAACCAACAGCTTTTACTATAATTTTAAAAGTTAAATTATCTAATTCATATAAATTGTTGATTTCATCAATACAGTAGATAATCATGACCTTTTTTTTGTTAATATCTAATGTGATAGTACTGAAAACTATTGTTAGACTGAAGTCAAAAATGTCAGGAAAGGATTTTTTTATAATATCAACAAAGTGACAAAATTCTAAATTAGGAACTCCTTCCACAAAATATTGATAGAGAATCTGTAATGACAAACTTATTTCACCACTAACATTACTATCTACTATAGAGGCAGCACTACTATTCTCATATGTAACATCAATCAACACAGCATTATTTATCAGTTTTTTCAAATCAAAATCACTATCATTTTTTGCGTAATATTGTAACATATTTAAATTTTCTTTTAATACTCGAGTTTTTCCAGTATCAGGTCTTGCTGCAATAAATGGAATTGAATGAAAATTATGGTCTTTAATATTGTTCAGCAATGTATAGTAACGTTTTTTAACACCATTCTTATCTAAAGTTTTATTCTAAAATCATTTCTTTGTTTTTTTACGGTCAAGAAACTTAAAATCTTTTCCATATGTAGATATAAGCTGGAATAATAGAATTACAAAAATATTTTAAGTAAATATATCAAAAAATGATATATATTAATTTACATTCGCTAAAACTTTATTAGTTAGTCTTCTATATTTTTGAATCTAGAATAAAATAGATTCAGGAGTAACAATATTATTTTGAGAGCCTTTTACAAAAAAGGGTTATTAAATTGAATATTAGCAAAAGAAAAAAATTTAGAGAATAAAAAAAAAATATGATATAATATTTATTATTTCTATGATATTCATAATAATGCTTACTTTTACCTAATAAAAATATAAATTATTTGAGTATAAGGAATGGAAAAATAAAAGGCACAAGTCAGTTTAATAATATATGTCAATTAAATAAATAAATAAATAAAATGGAATGAATGAAAAATAATTTTTGTATATTTTTTACGCAATTTGTTTATTACCTTTTTCTTCAATAAATCCAGCTAATTTATTCTGCAACTTTATTATTTGGTCCTTTCACTTCATTTTTGTCATCTTTAACTTTTCTTTTTTCTTATACAATCTGATTATTCGTTCTTCCAACTCTGTCTTCTTTACTTCACTCAAGTTCCCCTCAATCAACGTTATCTCCTACTCCTCTAACTTTTTCCCCTTATACTTTCCTTTTTTTCACTGTTTCAGCTCTTCAATTGCCTCATCTAATCTATTATTTGCTCAGTTTAATTCTTGTTCTATTTTTTCGTATGTTGCCATTCTTTAGAATTAAAAAAAATTTTTTATTGATTTAGATAGATCTAGGGATGTTAAGGTCTGTGACCAGACCGGTCTGACTCTGGTTTGATCATAAAACCAGTTTCAGTTTGATTTGAAAATTAAATTGAACTGAAACTGAACTGAGTTGAACTGGTATTTAGACCAGTTTAGACGATCAATTTATATAATGCCTTGTCGTGTAAATTGTAAGATGCGTTGATCATTTTAATTAGAATAATTTTTGTTTTGCATTATTGTTTGTATTATACAATGTCTAGTAGTGTAATTTCAAATGAAAATGATAACAATTTCTCAGATGTTTCTTCAATTTCTTTAGCAACTGAAGAAGATTCCAATATAATAACTCGTAAGTCAGATGTATGAGAATTTTTTTTAAAGTCTAAGATGAAGAAACTGGATTAACAACAAGTTATAAATGCATATTATGTGCTAAAATTTATTTACCTGACAATCCAACAACCACCCTTTGAAAACATTTAACTAAAAAACATTCATTTCATTATAAAATAACTGAAAATCATCAAATTACTTTGAATGAAACGCGCTTCAAATCCTATTCTTTATCACAATCCAATTCTATCACAAATTCATTGATTGATTTTATTGCAACTGATTTACAACCTTTTTCTATTGTTGAAAATACTGAATTCAAATTGGTTGTTAATAATTAAATCCTCAATTTATTTTACCATGTAGATAAACTTTAAAGAAAAATTTGTAAAAAATTATGATACAAAAGAAATGATTTAATAGGCGAAATTTCACAAATTAATTTAAAAATATCTCTTACAACAGACATATGGATATCAGATCCAAAAGATTGTTATCTTGGAATAACAATTCATTATATTAATAATAATTAGGAATTAAAGAATCTTTTGTTTGATATAATTTCTATAAATGATTTTCATAGAGCTGAATTAATTATAAGCAAACTTTTATAACTTTTTGAAGAATTCAATATTAGTCAGAATATTCTTGCTATGATAACAGATAATAGAAGCAATATGATAGTATGTGGTAATCAATTAGCAACTGAATTAAATCAAGAATTTAATAATATATCTTTTATTCATTTTTGATGTGCTGCTCACATTATCAACTTAGCAGTAAAAGCTGAAATGAAATATGTAGGAGATGAAATCAAAAAACTTCGTCAATTTGTTGTTAAATTAAAAAATTCACCACTATTATTGGATAAATTATTAGAAATTTATACTATTATAAAGGTTAAATTTCTAAAGCCAATTTTAGATATAGATATGTATTGAAATTCTACATATTTGATGATTGCAAGACAAACTTTAATGCAAAATGTTTCTGAATTGCTTGTAACAACAAATCCTGAAGATCTTGATATCTTTTTCCAACAATTTCTGAATGGGGTCATATTAAGGTATTTATTATTTATTATTTTATTATTATAATTAATTAATTATTATTTATTTATTTTATACTTATTATTTATTTTAGGAATTATCATTAATTTTACAACCTATGTATGAAGCAACACAGTTATTATCATCATCATTAAATCCTACACAAGGTGATATTAGATTGGTTTTTGTTGGAATGTTTAAAAAATTGAATCAATATCAAAGAAGAGGTCATCATACACAAAAAGAAATAGCATTAGCTATTTACAACAAATTAAAAAAATATTGGGATGATCATTTAAATTACACTTCTACAATTTCTTCGGTATTGGATCCGCGTTACAAAATCACATTATTTGAAAATAATGACTTAGCTGGAATTATTAATAATTTACAAGAATTATATAGTACATATTCTCCCTTAAATAATCAAACAAATTCAAAAAAAAAGTTATCGTCTCGGGATTACTTTCTTAATTTGCTTAATCAAAATAATTATCAAAGAATGACATGTGATGAATTAGATAGATATCTAAATTCTCCAGTAGATAGTGGTGCCAATCCTTTAATTTGGTGGAAAGTTCATGAAAAAGATTATCCTATATTGTCTCAAATGGCTAAGGATTATCTATCGATTCAAGCGACGTCAGTTCCATCAGAAAGAACCTTTTCAATTTCAGGCTTAACTATCTCAAAAGTTAGAAACAGGTTAAATCCTAAAACAGCAATGGCAATTATTTGTATGAAGCATTAGATTTCAGAAAAAAGGATTGTAGAAAATATATAAATTTATATTATAATTGTGGGGATGGATAATAAGGCAAAATTATTTCGATCAAAAGCTTGATGGGAATAACGTTTTAGTAAAAGGAATAATACATATTACGTCATTATATATTACTATATCACTTTCCTATCCCCCTGTGAGACTTATTGTTCACGTGATTATACAAATAGCCAATAATCAATAAATACTATTTGAATATTATAAAAAAAACATTTATTTAAATTCTAAATAAATCTAATATAAAAATAAAAGTTAGTAATAAAAAACTTTCGTAATTACTTGTATATGACTCATAATAGTCAATCGCTAAATTAAATGCTATCGCGTCTGCATAATTGCATCTTTAATTATTTTAATTTCTTTATCCAAAGCTTTTCAACATGCAGGCTTTCCTAACTACATCAAAATATAATAAATTTTATATTTATAAGACCTATACAAATCAACATTAGAGATTCTGTAATGCTTTCAGATACTATCGTATGATAAATACAAAAAATCCTATGTATCTAAAATCTGATCTGTGCACAGAATGTATTAATGCATGGAAAGAAATTCAACATAAAACTCAGGAAGAAATTGAAAGTAAGATCAAAGAATATTTAGAAACTCCAATTCCAATACAAGGTTTTTTGCAGATTAATCAGTCATGACCCATTTCATCTCGAAACTCAAAACTCGTCCAAATTAATCAACTTCTTCAAAGAAAAATTGACAAGAATATTGTAGCTGAAACTGCAACACTGCCTAATGCTACAGTGTAAAAAAAGCTGTGAAAACTATCAATACAATAAATATAAAGCTTGCTAAACTTCAACGAACTTATAATTCTACTACTGACTTGGAGATTCAGCATAATATAATAGAGCGCATGACAACTTTCAGGCAAATTTTGCATGATGAGGATAATAAAGTTAAAAAATTAAAATGTCAAGTAGAATATCAACGAAAATGCAGGGGAAAAAATGCAAAATTCATGCAAGAACATCAGGAAGTAATAAAATACAATTCACCTGATTATCCACTTTTTTTGGTTTAATATCTCAATTTACATGAGTATATACATAAAAGTATCAAATTTGAAGCTGCAGATAAAAGAGAAGGAAAGAGATCATTAAAGTTAGAACCATTTGACATCTTTAGAAGGAACTTAATTCAAAGTATAATGAGTATCTTTCTTGCATCACCCTCAATAATTATTTGTTGCTATCTCAATCAAATATTATAACAGCAAAGACTCACTATCACCAGCCATTATTGCAAATACATCTGTTTTACAAAATGAAAAAAATAAGCATATTGATGAACATTATTATCTTACATCTGTGAAAGGAGCAAAACAATTCGCAGCTTTATTCTCAGCCCATTCTGTTATTATTTCACAAGATGATAAAGTTAAGATTTCTCTTGGTATTCCTGCAATCAGAAGAATCTTTCAAATTATTAGTATTCCGCACAGATTCAGATCGATCTGAATCCAATCTGAATCTGACAGATCAGAATCATATCAGATCTGTCAGATTCAGATCTAATTCAAATTCAAATTCAGATTCAGATCAGATCAGATCCGTCAGATTCAGATTCAGATCTGATTCGTCAGATCTGAATTCAACTTTTTTAAAGCTGAAAAGTTCCTTTTCAATGAAAAAGGATGAATTTTCAGACTTCTTTAGAGCCAAATATTTGTTTCCTTTCATTGAAAAGGAACGAATTTTTGGATCTCTTTTAGAACTGAAAAGTTCCTTTCATTGAAAAGGAACTAATTTTCAGATCTCTTTTAGAGCTGAAAAGTTCTTTTTATTGAAAAGAAACCAATTTTCAGATCTCTTTTAGAGCTGACAAGTTCTTTTTATTGAAAGGGAACGAATTTTCAGACACTTTTAGATCTGAAAATTTGTTTCTTTCATTGAAAAGAAATGAATTTTCAGATCTTTTTTAAAGTTGAAAAGTTCCTTTCATTGAAAAGGAATTTATTTTTGAACTTCTTTTAGAACTGAAAAGTTCCTTTCATTGAAAAGAAACGAATTTTCAGACTCTTTAGAACTGAAAAGTTCCTTTCATTAAAAAGAAACGAATTTTCAGACTCTTTAGAACTGAAAATTCATTTTTTCAATAAAACTTTCAGATTCAGATCAGATTAGATTTGGATTTAAATCAATTTGTCAGATCCAGATTTGAGATTCGATCTGTCAAATTCAGATCAGATCTGGATTTCAACAGATCCGTCAGATTCAGATCAGATTCAGATTCTGAAAAATGAAAATCAGATCAGATCAAATTTGGATAAAATCTGATCTGATCTGATTTTGCAAAACACTACAAACCATACAAAGTTTCCAAGAGCCAATTACTCTACCTGATCATGATTTTCTGATCAGTGCACAGCAAAAACTTATTCTGTCAGTTTACTTACTCATTAACCTAGACAATGCGAATGACACTCTCTGTAATGGTCAACTTTCGATCTTTATATACCCACAATATCAGGTTGGCACAAGTTCAACCACTTATATAAGTGACTTAAATTCGCTAACTCGAGACAATCGTTTTGACAAAATATTAAAAGCTAACAGTCAGGTCAAACCTATTTGGATTCTTTTAGTCAATGGAAATCCTGATGAAAATCCTTATCATATGAAAAACATTCTTCAATATTGTAGAATATTCTGTACCTTCGATCTCGATTACCTTTCTGTTCGAATGCACGTACTGGATCAATCAGCATATAAGTCTGTTGAACGTAGTATAACAATGTTCTCTCAAAAACTAGCTAGAATAACGTTGCTAATCAGTAAATATAACTTCTATCTCAATTTTCAAAGTCAGGTAGTTGATTCGGAGCTTGCAATAAAGAACTTTCGTTATACTAGTGAGGCTTTATGTTCTCTTTGAAAACGTGATCCTATCCATGGGAAACCAGTCACTGTCGATCAAAAAGATTCTTCTTTTGGTAATATCATATTTTCCGAACCTGAAAAAGAAAATAATGGCGAATCGGCAATACCCTAACAATGGTTAGAAAATTATACCAAAATATGTCAATACTTACTTGACATTAAGAAATGCGAAAATTCTTCTTGTTGCTTGCTTAAACGTCACAAAGAAGTAGCTATTCTTCTTGCGAAAAATGACAGATTTCTCCTACCTGTGACTAAAGAAAAATATAAACATTTCCTGAATCCGCTACATATACTAGAATATTGTGATAAGCTCAAAATACCTGGATATGATGCCCACTGTCCTTCTATTAGTTCAAGCACTTACAATTATCTCTGTTGTTCTAACTGTAATACATATTTTCCAACTCTTTCTCTCATTACCCTATATAAGAAAAGCTGATATCTGAGAAAACAAGGACAACCTGTCAAGCAAAAAAAGCCACTTACCAATTCCTTGGATGATTTTTCCATTGCACCTGCATGAGATGAACAAGTTTCAATTTTAAATAACCAGAAAGTACATTCGAAAGGTGAATAAGGTGATTAAGAAAACAAAAAGATTGTTGCAAAGGATAGGCGGAGTTTAAAACAATGCAAAAGATAGGCGAATTTTAAAATTTAAGCGGAATTTTAATAAAATCAAACTAAAATTTTGATATAAAAGTGGTAGTGATATAAAATTTAAATAAGCCACAATAAGATTTACTTATTTATTCTGATTGGCTAATCATATAATCACGTGAAAGGTGAGACATTTAACACACATCCCCTCCCCTTTGATAATTACATAATATGTGTACTCCCCTAATAATAGATTGCAATTATTCGACTTTTTTTTTCAGTTTATTTGTATTATAATAAAATTTTTGTATTAGGAATGTTAAGTATCGCACAATTTTTTTATAGTTTCGTCAAAATTTTTTACAATAACCTGTATATATAAACTCCGGTCTAAATTTCGGTCTAGACTCCAGTTTCAAATCGGTCTACAAACTGATCCAGTTCGATTTTACCTTCAGACTGATAAAAATCGGACTGAAACTGAACTGGTCGAACCATTAACATCCCTAGTGGAATCCACAATATTTGAAACATCATAAAGTCGCACACTACCTGGTAAACGAAATGCTGTTATTTTACTGTTGCGGTGCCAGCAACAAAGTGTACACAAGAAAACACCAAGGATAGAAGAAGCCTGAGTGGCAATAACGAACATTAATGAAAAAAAAAAACTTAAATATCTTGCAAAAGGTTAAGCTTTTTGAATAATCTTATCAGGAATGCAACATATGATGAACGACACGATAATTATCCCAAATACCATCCACGATAGGGTCAAGTGTGTTTCCCATATTAAATCAACTCCTACAATATGTTCTGCTGCAAATTCCTCCTATTAAAAAAAAAGTCTCATTGATCAAATATTTGTTTACGTAATAGTATAATACAATAATATGTTTTGGTCATTTCGCGTGCACAAAATTCTAAATTAAAACGTTCTTTGAATAATGATGATTAAACTCACCTGTAAAGCAACAATAGTATCCTGAGCATCGAATCCTCCATTTTGTGATAAAACTTTAGGAATTATCAACATTGCGTCTGCAAATGCTTGAACTCCCATCTTGGCCCTCCCCTTGACTGAACTTTTAAATTTATTCAAGTGAGCTGAAAGCCCAACTTGAAATGCTCCTGCTCCTGGTACTATACATTTATCTTCAATTGCATTCTTTACGGCTCGTAATCCATCACGGATGGCATCATTAATCTGCGCAATTGTGTGAGAATTAGGTCCTTTAACCAATATCGTAACAGATTTTGGATTTTTAACCTCTTCAACAAAGGTATATTTTTCTTCTCCAAGAGTGTGCTCATAAATAAGTCCTGCGTATCCGAGAACTTCTGGAGACAAATCGTCCACGGAATTTTGTGCGACTCCTCCACAAATAAGTTGTAATCTAAAAAAAATAATTTTGCGTCAAAAAAAAAAATAAAATAAATAAAGGAAATACATGATACAATAAATCACCTTTCCATATTTCTTCTCTTGGCACGTCTCAATGCAAGAATTCCATTTTTACAGAGAAGATCCAATGACAAGGGATCAATTCCCTTTTGATTAATGACAACAAATCCTTTATTGGTATCCCCACATACTTGTTTTTTAAATTCAACAATTTTTTTCACTTTTTCATCCGTAAATTTGCGCTCTGATTCTACAAGTTTTTCTCGTTGCTCAGCAGATGAATAAAAAAATCCTGAATTTATTTCACTATAAAAACAAAAAGATATATATGTATTATTCAAGGTATTTACGATACAACACGTCAATCCCCGTACCTTTTTTCGTATTCAAGAGATACATTCAAAGTTAAAATGTAAGCATCCTCTACGCGTTTAGGCATGTCAGGATGACGAGCACCATGGTCTAACACCAAACCACGAACTAATCGAGACTCTGTAGCGGTCTTGTGCTGCATTTTCATAATTTCAACCATATGTAAATCAATTGGTTGACCATCCGGTTTAATTGTCATTACTGCATCAACGACAGCATCAGTAAGTGTTTCTGCAAGTGCTGCATGAACTTTGGTGTTTAAAGAGGTACGAGCAACGTTAACAAGTATTTCCCGATCAATCTGTTTTTCAATTTTAAATTTATCCAGAAACTAATATTTTTTTTTTATTAATAAAAGATTAAAAATTTGAAAAATGAATTTCATATTTAGTGAAAATTGAAAAATAATTTAGTACGTACCTCTAATGCTTCTTTTCTTGCTAAATCGAATCCCTCGGTAATAATTCTTGGATGTAACCCTTCAGAAATATATCTTTCGGCTTGTTTCATTAATTCACCAACCAACAAAACAATTGATGTTGTACCGTCACCAGTGATTTCATCTTGTGCCGTGGCAGCGCGAGCAATCATTGCCGCGGTTGGATTTTGAATTTGCTTGGGTCATCCCGAATTGAAAGTCAACAAACGTCAATACAAAGTCACCCAAAGCTACTCTCAAATGAACAAATAAACAAAGAAAAAGGGGTACCATTTCGCTCAATAGAACTTTGCCGTCTTTAGTAATCTTAATGTTGCCTGCGCCATCAACCAGCCTACATGAGGGTCAAAAGTTTTATTAATTTTACACGTTAGAAAAAGTATTATTTAATTGAAAAAAATTAATTACATTTTAATCGTTCCTTTAGGACCAAGGTTGGATTTTAATACATCTTGCAAACCAACTGCAGCAGTTATATTTAGCTGAAGAGCTTGACCTCTTCGAGCAACTTCTGACTTTGGGTTGATAAGTTGTATGGCAGAAGACCTATCAAATAAAGTTTAGTATTATAAATTTTTGTTAATGGTTGTCGAATAAATAATTAAAATATTAAATGCATTTTAACTATCAAAAAAAAAAAGTTTTTTACATCTTTTAATAATAAGATTACTTGATTGATTTTCAGGAAAAAAAAAAAAATAAACGCGAAAGTAGATCTGATGAAATTTGATGTAACATTGTAACACAAAACGCAATTAGGAAAATGTGTCAAATAATTGGAATTACCATTTTACTGTAGGTCTTTTATTTTCGAATTAATCCTTCTCTCTTTTAAAGTACACGTCAGAGCAAATACATCAATATGCCAGGACCAGCCATTAGTACAAGTCGTTTGGAGAATAACTTGATGTATCTAGATGATTACTTGGATAGTAAGTGTTTTTTTTTCTTATTTTTTTTCTTTTGATTTAACTCCACCTCACATTTCCCCATTTATAGCATTAGAGTCGCTACCCGCAGAATTACAACGCAATTTAACATTAATGCGACAACTTGATACGAATACACAAGGTATATGTTTAAAGTTTTGTAGATTGTTTGTTAGGTTTTCCTTTAAATTTTATTATTTCAACATATTTACAGATGCCATAGATAATGTTTCCAAACAAGCCACCACCTTGTTAGATAACTTACCTGATCTTAGTCGAGAAGATAGAGTGGAGCAACTTAAAAAGCTTGGAAGTTTATTGACTGACAGTTTAAAAAATGGAGAAGAAAGGGTCTCCCTGGCCACCTCAACATACGATACCGTACGTAAATAATTTTAGAAACCATTCAAGCCTAATTTAATAAATGACGTCGTTGCTCTCTACATTAGGTCGACCGTCATATCAGAAGACTCGATGACGACCTTCAAAAGTTTGAAGACGAACAAATGACAGGTCCAGGTAGGGTTAGTCCGGCAGCCACTTCCAATGTTGTTCGCGAACCAGATGTAACTCGCAAACAAAATCAAAAGAACGATAAAGAAAAGAAAGATAGTAAAGCTGATAAAAGGGCACAACAAGGTAAGAATAAGGAATAATTACTTTGCCCAATCTTTCCCATGTTTTTAAACATTTAATTCGATTCTGTAGGTGGTGATACGTCAAACCACAAAAGTAAGTTTGCTCTTCCTCGTGTATATATGCTATTTTAATGTAATGGAACATATATTGACTAGATGTTGTTGATTTCACTCGTATAGAACGCAAGACCAACAACGCCAAAGACACGGCCACGCCACCACCGACGACATCTCGGAATCATGGAGATAAAGATCGTGAGAAACCAAACAAAAGAAAGAAAGATAATAGTAAAAATAGTAAAACTAAAGCGGCAGCAATCGAGAAAACGTATGTTACATGCAAATCTTTGTACTAAATGAATTTGATTAATAAAAAGGTTGTTTCTCACAATATAATTATTAGAAATGATGATACAACAGCCGCAGCAGACATGCCTATCGATCCTAACGAGCCGATTTATTGTTATTGCCAACAAGTCAGCTGGGGTGAGATGGTCGCTTGTGATAACAGTGAATGCGAGATCGAATGGTTTCATTATCCCTGCGTTGGTCTCAAATCCCAACCGAAAGGCAAATGGTATTGTCATGATTGTACAGATAAACCTAAAATACGTCACAGGAAATGATGATCTTACTACATCTTATTGCAATACCAAGGGATTTCATTTCCCGACTCTGTTAAGTTTTACGTGTAATAAAATGATGACATGTATTGAGGACTTCTCGAACCATAAAAATGTCGTAATCGTATTTGGAATTATTTTTATAAGTCGGGGGTTGATTTTCCGCTGTGACTAAGTGAGAATCTCCGTGTGCGATTAGGACGAATTATGCGTTGCTTAGGTTTTTACAACTTATCAAATAAGTATTTCTATTTATAAAAAATGTGAAAATAAATATTATTTCCTTTCAATTTATTAATTATTATATTAAATGGTTGTGAAGGAAAAATGATTTAATTAATTAATAAAGTGATAATTCATTTTCAAAAATTACATAACAGTTATCAAATGTGTCCCTAATGTAAAAAAAAAAAAAATCCATTACGAAAATGAAAAGTCGAAAATTAGAAGGGCGAGGGAGAAATTGGAGGGTTAGCCGAATTGAAGAGGTTGTTGAGGAAGTTGTAATAAAAAAATAAGTAAAGAAAGGGAGAGAAAGAAAAAACAAAAAAATTACAAGAGGAGAGAGAGATGAAAGTAAAAAAGGTGGTTTTTTTTTTATGAATTTGTTATTTAAATAAGGTAGTGAACATCACAATCTGTTGATCGATCTAGAGGAATATTTAAAGAAATTAGTCTTGCATGCGAATTATTAATGATAAAACTGTAAAAACTCATAATTTATCAGTCGAAGTTCGTAAATATCTTAAATAGCAAATGATAAAAAATAAAATATTATAAAATATTTCGATTTGCAAATTTTTTTCATTCCAAATAAAAAATTTAAAGTTTTTGTTCGATCAGACGCATGTATAGGTGAATTAGTTTCAGCTTTTAAACGTTGTATTTGGCTTTCCTTTCACATTTACAAAAAGTTTATTATGTAAAGAAAACACGTTAGTATTTTATGTCAAATATTAAATATGAGTTGACAACCCTTTTTATTAAGTTTTAATTTTAAATAAAATTATATGAAAATAAAAGAATAAAGATTTTTAACATTACTATGATATTTATATATAGTATTCAAACCAGGACAAGTTCCTTAAATTACAAAAATTTAAATGAAAATACAATGATTTGTAATATATATAAGCATATTTGCAAATGAAAAAATATCAAATATTAATAACTAGAAAAAAATAATTTAATAATAATAGTTTACAAAATAAATAATAGAAATAAATACTTGTTAATATTTAATATTTACTAATTATACTACCTAATAAAAGTAAAAAACTTAAAATTATAACTTGATTTTTAAAAACATATATATCCTTTACAATAAAAAAAAAGAAAACTTCAAAAAAAAATTTTTCCGAGTTACTATTATAGTAGTTTTCTTCTTTTTTATTGCAAAACACCTATATATAATAAGTTAAATTAAAATTTTAACATATGATAGCTTACAATTTATATAAATAATGAAATTATTATTATAAAATAAAATTTATAATATATAAAATCTAAATATATTCTACTCTTAATATAGTAAAGTAACCATTTTGCACATTAGCAAAAAATTTGAAGGATTTGATTAATTACTTTATTATAAAAAGAGAAAATTAACATACAGTGACAGTCAAAAGTATTACATCATTTGAATACAAATTATAAAATTACAATTTCTTGATAATTAAGACAGCGCAATATATAAAATTTTATTTTTAGACTTATTATAATGAATTAATTTAATGGTATAAATTTTGTTAAGTAATAGTGAAATAAAAATTTTTAAAATAATATTTTCTGTCAATTAAGTAATACTTTTTTACCAAATTTATATACATCAGATCCCAATTCAATTCAAATCTTTAAATTGCATTCAATAATTAATTTTGTATTCTAATAAGTATTTTAAGCTGTTTTAGATAATGAACCATTCATTTCAAAAATATTTTATTAGATTTAAATCAGAAGATTATACTGACTAATTAAAAACTTTAACCCTATTATTTTTAAACTACTACTTTGTAAGATGAGCTATATATTTAATATCATTATCTTGTTGAAAAATATATTTTTCTTATCTATTCTATATTATTCAATAGTTCTTAATAGGTCTTTTTTTAAAGTTTGATAATATAAATCAAACTCAGATATATATATATAAAGGAATTTTATAGATATATTGCTATCATAGTGGAGTTAAACTAAATAAGATTTTGATTTATATATAATTTATAGATTTTTGTTCATAATTATAATATCAGATTGCATATTTTTTATCAAAATTTTTATAAATATGAAATTAGTTTGCATATTTTTAATAAAATCTATAGTTTACAAGTTAGGCAAAGTTCTATTATATATTAAAAATCCTATGATAAATGTATAATTTATCTGCTATATACTATTAAATATATTTAATACACAGTTAAGTATATTTTCATATGTTAAGTTAAAATAAATATTAATTGCATTACTAATATAAGGTGTTATAAAGAAGTCTCAGATAAATTAAAAAAAATTTATTGATAAATAAATAAACTAAAAGATAAAAATACTAAAATAAGAAATTATAAAAAGGAGAATTAATCATAAGTAAGAAAGAGTAGCTTTACATTATCTTTACAAAAGAAAGGTTATATGGAAGTGTTTCTAGAAAAATCAGATTTTGAGAAATTTTTAACTAAAATTTAGAGCTTAATACATTTTAATCTAATAACATCAAAAACTAAAATGCAATAAAAATCTCAAATTTACTAAAAAATTCTCAGAACCTGATTTTTCAAGCAATCAATCCATTACAGCTATTGCTAAACTGATCAGATTGTATTTAATAATTAATAATTATCTTTTTTTAATGAATTTAGTTCTTTATATATACATTTAATATTATGTCTAATAAATCAAATATATTAACTATACTAAAAAAATGGAAACCATTGGAGTGTCTGAAGTTTTTATTCAATGTATTACATATATTACAGAAAAAATAAAATGCATTACAGAAAACTAAATATATTACAAAAAAAAGATATATGACCAAAAATCTAGAAAAAGATAATCAACAAATTTCATATTAAGGGAGGAATCAAAGAGATTAAATTTTTCTTTTCAGTTATTTTTTCATGCAACCTCTTATAAGTTTTAACACACAGGAGTCTTTCAAGTGAAAATATGCTAAAAAGTATATTTTTAAGAGTACAGACATGAGATATTATGATAAATGAGAGGTTGACAGCAAACTCTTTATTTTCTAGATCAATCATGGCTTTTTCTAATATTAGACCTTAACTTTTATGTACTATGATCAATAAACAGGAAGTTGTAAGTAGGAGCAAGGACCCTTTTTCCCATCCTAAGTATGTCAAATTGGTGAAATTAAAATGAGTTTTTTACTAGTTTCAGTTACTATAAAAAGGTCAGTATATTTGTTAAATTCCACCAGAATAGCAATAAGTAAAGAAGGCAGACCCTGAGTTTATTCAAAAATGATTTTGTGAATGATACCCATCGATCTATTAATCAAACTAGTCTCAGTCTATAAGTTGGTCCTTAGCATAACCTTTGAACCTATTGACAATAATAAGTAAGATTCAAGACCTTTTACATATTACATCTGAATCAGCTTTACGAGCTTCATTACCACTTGTATGAATTGTGTTAATTCTAACAATAGGATTATTCAAGAAGCTAAGTTTATTAAGATTAAACTCATCAATATCAGATCTATAGGATATAATACAAGTAGTATTAAAGAATCGAACATGGGCTCATATGTTCGAAAAATTAAAAAATCACATAGTAAGTAATAACCAGTCATCTTTAGTTTTATTATTACGCAAACACAATAAGAGATCTCTAAATTTACGTTATTCTTCTGAATCACCAGATTAGCATTGAATAATTTTAAGACAATAGACTTTGTGAAATTATCAATAAATTGCTATAGCATCATTTGATAGAAAATCTTGATGTGAAACTTGAGAATACATTAGTTCATCAAGTACAGGTAGAAGTTGACCAAAGTCTCCAACAAGAATTACAGATTGTTCACCAAAGACTTGATTTCTATATTTCAGAAAGGCTTAATATAAACATAAATTAACTAAATCAAGCATGCGACATCTAACCATACTTTTTCATTAATAATAAAATAGTATACACCATCTAATTTTTTCTGCAGATTTTCAGATTTTAACCAGTTAAATCAAAACTTTTGCTAGATATCAGAATAGAAAAAGACAAATGAATTATTGAGTTATAGATATTAAATATTGCAACACCAGTTAGAGTAAGCAGCATAATAGATAAATCAATAACATTATGATTACAAGCAATTTTATAAAGTTGATCTTAAATCATTTTAATTAAATAAGACTTTCCTATACTGATAGTTTTCAACATGATAAGTTTGAGCAGATCAAGGTATTCTTGATAATAAATAGGATAGTGTAATGAGATTCAATTTTTCTATATACCAACATTTGATTTTCATTCAAAAATTAGAGATCTACTGCATAATTAGACAAGGAAGTATCATTAAGATTGGTAGAACTATGAGCTTGCAGTATAAAATTAGAAATAGCAGTAAGATCAAAATTAGAGCAATATGTTCTAAGATTAGCACTCTAGTCATAATTATGGTCAATATTGTGAAAACTTAAATTGAAAGCAATTTCAAACTCTGCATCAAATCTCATCTCTAAAAAGATCATCCAATCTAGGCGGATCTCTCCTTTGATATTGTCTAGATCTTCACAATTCTAATTGCTTTTATCATTAATAGCATCATTTTCTAGAGTATCTACAAGTAGACTAAATAATCTAGAGCAGATTCAATTATTTCATAATAATGATCGAAGAGATCAAGACAAAAGGCACTATTATTATTAGTTAATACACTTAAATCATGATGGCTAATATGAAATAAGACTTTAATATAACAATAATCTTCCTATTATGTATTATTATAATGAAATAAAAAATGCGACCAGACACACACGATATTTTCACTT